GTCCCAGAAGTTACTGCGATAAACCATAATATTGTTGTTACATTTTCAAGTAACGTAGTTGCTTAATAATGCAAGAGCACATTTTCAAATATCAACAAATTTAAAATTGTTATCAACATTTAACACTGGAACTGGAACTAGAAGACATTTTAAACACCCAAAATAAACAAATAAAACAACAGAAACGTTAAATGAAATGAATTATGATGCAAATGTTGCAAAATTTTCTTTCAAAAAATAAAAAAAAGGTCTAGTGGAGACTGAAGACTTTAATCATCCAGTCTTTGGTAGGAAGAGAAAAACAATAAATCGTGCAAATGGAAATAATAATAATAATAATAACAGCATAATTGTGGCGTGGAAAGGAAACAAGACATGTTTAATGTTAACATTTTTTTAAAAGTTTGCAAGAAGTGACTCAACTGTAACTACTGAAATATAACTTTCTGCTGATACTAACATCAGTCGTTTGTTTCCTTGCAGTGGGTTTTTCTTTTTTTCGTTGTGTATCTTGTGGATGTGCCTGTGGAGACCGGAGGAACGCATGAAGGAGCCGGAAAGCAAAGTACCTTCTGTTGCTCCCACTGTGTACAGAGCGATGAAATAAAATAAAAAAAATTTAAAAAATCTAAAGAACCTTACGACTGAGGAGGTCATCAGCCATCAGCACTTCATCCTACTGTTGCATGATCGTCTCTGCAAGTGGACTGCACACCTTTGATAACGATCAGCCCTGTACAGAAAGTTAAACATTTCCATCCCTTTTTGGACTTTTGTTTTTTCTTTTCCGAGGCTCTGACGTTGTGCAACGCTAAAGATTTGTTGGAGAAAAAAAAAGCCAGCTAAATTTCACGCCTCAAGAGTTGTACAGTAAATTCGTGGCTGTATTTCTGTATTTTTGACATGTTTAACTTTCTCTGTGCCTCTCCACCTTTCTGGAAAGAAAAGAAAAGGAAAAAAAAAAAAAAAAAAGCCAAAGTCGACTGCAGCTGCTTTTGTTCCTGTCGAAATTCCTGAATAAGTTTTATTTGATTCCACATCGATATCTTAAGTCTCAGCAATCCGTCCGCTTTGCTGCGCTGAGCTGGTGTCAGCAACCTTCCTGCATATTTTATCTGCGGCTAAACTTCCCCGCAAGCGAAAGGCGAAACGTGTCTGAAAACTGAGGAAGCTGCTGTTTGTTTCCTGTTTACATGTCAGTACTGATCTCCTGGGCCAATATATACATATATATATAGATATTTGTTTTTTTTTTATCTCCCCGACGTGAAGAAATGCTGAAATTGGAAACCGTTTTCAGCCCTTGAAACCGGAATGCAAAGCTGCTGACTTGAAGCAAATCGACAAACTGCTCACTTTATTTTTCAATCTCTTGAGGCAAAAAAAAAAAAAAACAAAGCTAAAGAATAAATGAGCTCTTTACACTGGTACTTGGTTATGTCTTAATATTTCTCCTGTATTTTTTTACAAATCGGGCTTATTTTCACTACATAATGTTGGAAAACCTAAAAACACAAAAAAGACAGGCCTGAAGCTTGAAAAACATGCATGTGTAACGTTCTTAATGTGCCGTTCCTCAGCTTGTAAATGTTTGGATTATTTCTCCCATGAGGCTTTAGGTTCTGCTGTGTCCTTGCATTATTATTATTATTATTATTATTTGAATCATTTTTGCCCCTGTTTTTTTGCCTGTTATTGTTCAGTTTGTTTTTAAAATATCTTAAGTAACTTATTTCACTTGTACAAACTTGTCAATATTTATTATCATTGTACATATGTCCCTATTTTTTATGTGTATATAAATACACAAATAAAAAAATAGACATACTTGGAGTGTGAGTGTTTATCATGGAGGGAATGGCTATTTATTTATGACCAACATTCATTTTACGTGTGGATTACACGTCATTTAAGGGGTAGACTTGAAACTTAAAAAGGAAAGGAAGAGCTAATTGAAACTGTCAGCTCACTGAAACAAGGTTCAGATAACCTTATCAGCCCGAAATGAGGTGTTGCTGTTTGCAGCCAGAGCCCAGGCAGGTGTCACCGAGACCGAAGGATGAATTCATCCACGGTCACAGAAACATTTTACTCAAGAAAGCGGGACCAAAGTTTATCAGCTATCTGTGTTTCTCATTTCAAACTGGTTCCTGAACGCCACAGAGCTCTCCTGACCTCTGACACCGGGCACCAAACAGCAGATTGTGACTATAAAAATTAGCATGTTTCAACTAATAACTTGAAAAACCTTATAAAACAAACATGAGCAGTATCAGTACTAAACCGTCTACTACATTCACTATATTCTGATTCGTTTTCAACTTCCTTGGGTTATAATGAACTAAAACATTTTCATGAGCACACGACTTACATACTTCTTAATACTATAATGTAAAAGAAAAATACTGATTAGACTAATTTTAATCAAATTGTGCTCACTATATTTAATAAAAAATATTCTACTGATTAAGTTATGTATTGATTAAAACCATGAGTCTAAAGCTAGCCAAAAATTGAGGCCTGCTCAAAACAATCAGGATCCGTCTAATATTGCAACTCAACATGCGCTAATGTTTAAACATAATTAAAACTAGCATATATTAACTAAAATAATATTTCCAACTCCATCTAAATCAAGACAAAGCGAAGAAGAGAGTTCTGTGAGGGTAAAAAGTTTGGAGATAGACCCGCTGCTCAATGCACTAATGCTAGGCTAGGTAGCATGGCTACCAATGGTAAGTTGTTTAGCACATTAAGCAGCATTGATTGACAGTGCTAAGACCCTCCTCCTGGCTGTGATTGGTTGTTTCCTGTGTATTTTTTTCAGATGGCGGTGACAGTAGTTCAGAGGGGAAATGGAGGAGATTGATCTTTTCACAGATTATCTACTGACATGACCTGTTGACAGTTTCAATAAATATAAAAAAAAATATTTAAAAAAATAAAATAAAATTTACATACTGCAGGTTTAAGGTAGAGTAATTGTTTTGTGCAAAGTCTCAGAAGCAGGTTTCAGATGGTTTGAACATGTGTGGGAAAGAGATGGGATCTGTTTGATAAAGGATGCTGAATATGGAGATGCCAGGCAGAAAATGGAAAAAAAAAAAAACAAAGATGGAGGGTCAGTGTGACAGAGGAAGATGCTGGGGACAGATCGAGCTCCAAGAGCCAGACGTCTCTTGCTAGACGGTGTTAAATTGTCGGGAGCAACTTTTAAATTCTCGCCAATTTTTAACAAGGATTCACATCACCCTGGAAACATCGTTTTAAGTGTGAAACACAGTGGTGGGGGATCATGCTGTGGGGGAAGGGAAGCTGGTCGGAATTCATGAGAAAATGGAAATAAATAAAGAAGAAAGCATGCAAGAAACTGTAAAAGACTTGAGCTTTGGAGGTTTACAAAGGCTTAGATCTTAGCATATACATGTTATGAAATGGTAAAAGTTCTTTTGCGCTCTTTAAACCGAACTACCTCAGAATTTAGCACACAAGGGAAAAGATCATTTGTGAATGTGAAGGTTGGGAACTCGTTGCAAAAAAATTATCCTCTTATTTTTGTTAATCTGCTCAACAGTTCCCACCCACACTGGCTGTTAAAAGGCAAATCTAGTCAACAAAGCAGCAAAACTCCAATCTCACGTCTGGAAACAAAAGATGTCAAATAAGCAATTGTAGCATTTTTTAAATCCTCGGCCTCATGTCGTCTGTGGTTATTCAGTTTCGTCAGGCTTCTTTCTGTTCGTTTGCACAGCCCTGGCTGGCGTGGAAGCAGCAAGGCGCACGTTTCATGCGGTCAAGAAGTCCCAGCTGTGGAGAGGGGCTCACTGCTGCGTCTGATCTCGGTGTGCTCAGCTGCAGAACACACTCTGAAACCCCGCAAAAAGGAGGAGCTTTGAGTGTCGTTTCAGACGCTCAAAGCTCAGGTGGTGTGGTTACAGGGTTTGTGGAGATTTCCAGCAGTGCACCTGTTTGGGTTTACGGGTTTGTCTTTGGGGGGTTGGGAGGCTTACAGCACCTCCTTTGAAGCTGTCAGATGAATCACAGAATGAAGTGGTAGCTACATTTAAAATTCTGCAGTTGGTTTTGCACAAGTCAAAAGCAAAGTACTGTCTGACAGGAGCCCAAAACGCTCTTATTTGGAATGAAATCGCACATGATGCGACTAAAAGACAAGCGGAAAACCACAAAGCATTTGTAAAGTTTACAAAATGGTCATTCTGCTTCTTGTGCATTGACCTGTGACATGTGAGCAACAATATCAAGGAGGATGCAACCCAGCTTCAACTGGAAAAAATTGGCATTTTCTGAAAAAAATGCCAATTTTGTAAGCTGAAATGTTTTGGGGCAAATATTGCAGAAGAGTTTCAAGTCGGCTGCAGAAGATCATTATTGTTATAAATGAGCCAGTTTATTAACTATTCCCTCACCATAGATTGTGAGTATTTTGATCCATCTTTAAATAATACGTTTATCCATAAATTCCTCATTTAAAAATGTACAATAAATTTTTCTCAAATAATTTTAATTTTTCTCAAATAATTTTAATTTTTTAAAATAAACTTATGAAGGTGAGTCAACAGATCTCTATTAAATGCTCGTTTTAGATTTTTAATTTTTCTGTTCTAAAGAAAAAAAGGTAAACAGGAACCACTGCCACCAGCAGAGGGAGCTCTGGAGTTAATATAACTAAATTTGTCGCCTTCGTGATAAAGTTTATGATTATTATTATTATTATTATTATTATTATTGTTATTATTGTTATTATATCGTAACTGCAGAAAATAGGTGATTTAATTTTCAAACACTACGCTGAACATTTTGAGCTGATTTCATACGACAAAATGAAGGCAAAGGTCTTACTGGTTGGATATGATCACGTGGTACGGAACTCTTCGGTTCTATTGGTCAGTTTGTATTTTGATGCGATCAAGTGGTGTTCAAGCCGTTGAACAAATGAAAAAATAGTCCCAACGAATATTGCACAATTTTGCATGTTATCTGTGTTCTTCGGTGTAGGCTTATTACCGAGCTGCAATTAGGTCACCTGAGGTTGTAGTAAAACGTACTACGTCCGGTTTTCAGTGCACTGTTTAAAAATTGTATTCGCTGCTCCGCGGAGGGATCTATCAATGGCGCTTCGCTCAACCGTGGAGGGTGATTTGAATGCCTCGTTGCTACACACATATTTTTTAAAGAATATTTTGTAGTTTTTTTTCGACCGTATATGAATATACATTTAGGACGTTTTACATAGGTTTTAAGGTAAGAGTCTGACTTGCTGTTGACGAGTTTTTTTCACCAGTTGTTGCTGCAGTTCACCAACTTCAGGGTCAGGGTGTCAAAACTAGTTAGCTCTGCCGAGCACTTAGCTGCAACTCATACGCTTTCAGTAAGTAGTACTGTGCATTTCTTTTTGTCTGTAATGCATGTTACGTATTTGTCACTCTGGAACCATGTTAAGTTAAAAAAAGGAAGTGTTTCGTCTGCTTTTCTAGAAGCTATTGAGCCCGATGCGCAAATAAATATGGTAAAAAGTAAAATAAAGACGTCCAGATGCATTGTTTACGTTTGCCCGCTCCTCGTGTGACGCCCCAGCAATCTTGTCAACACAGATGTCAGCATGCCAGGCAGTCAGTGAAGCCCCAGTGGAGAGCGCGTCTGCCGCACAGGAAGCCTCGGCGCCGCTGAACTTCTCTGAGCTCACGCCGCGTCGGTTCGGCATCACTATGGAGAGTTTCATTCCGTCCTCATCAAACTGCAAAGGTAAGAAGCCCGATCTGTCGTTGACTGCGAGGATGGCGTGCGATCCACACGTGATCCAAGCCATATTGTTTCTCGTTATCATCGCAGAAATGAGAGTTTTAGCAGGATGTCCTTTATTTTTCCATCCCTGGCGGCATATAATTGGGTGTCTGAAACCTAATTTTAGCAACTCGGCTAAACATGAGCCGCCTCGGTTAAAAATGTGTCACTCAGATGTGAAGCAGCTCATCACATCCAGCTCACTGCAGCCACACGCCATCTTCTGCAACTACACACACACACACACACACACACACACACACACACACACACACACACACACACACACACACACACACAGTAGAGATGTTTATAAAGGCATTTTAACAGCAGAGCTTCATCAGTGCAGTGCATTGCAGAAGTGTTGCACAGTTTTCTGTAAGTTATTACAGTAGAGAAAAACAACCACAACACAACTTGTAATTGTGGAGTTGATTACAATCTATATTTTTTAACTCCCCCACACCCTCCAAAAAAAAAATTAAATCTGAAAAGTGTGGTGTGCATTTGAACATCTCACCAAAAGTGAATCTTTTGCCTGCAGAATCAAGCAGAGGAAAACCCAACACTGTACAGTCATTTTTAATAAATAATAATATACATCCTTATGAGTGTTTGTCAGATTAAAAATGACAAAAATATCAGCAGGTCTTAAGCACACTTTTCATCCTCCATTGCTGTTTTTAATATTTTATGATTATTGATCTAGCGTAAAATTCTAACATTAAACATCATGTTTCATTAAGTGTAAGTAGGAAATGATCATCATTAACAGATGTCTGAAGGGCTTTCAAACATCCGTCTCTTTCTCTTGGTGATTAAGTTTTTAACATAAATGGGTTTTTCAATAATATTCCAGCTTATTGAACTTGTATTGAAAAACATTCACACGTGAAATGGGCATCTTCAGGACGCTACTAACCTAAAGAACTGTTATTTATATCACCAAATCTCTGCCGGATCCGTCCCTCTCATGGTTTGTGGAGCCTGCGTGAGATAGAAATAACGATTGTGACTTGTACGAGGATGGGTCGTTGATGTGAAAAGAGAATCTGTGTAACGTTCCTTCTGACACCAGCCGAGTGTCACCGCTCTCTCCTCCTACTCCTTCTCCTCCTCCAGACAAATCCCGCCTCGCACAGATAAAGGCCCGGCGAAGATCCGGCGTCGGCGTCCGGGGCTCGCCGGAGACGAATTCCCTCATCCGCTTCAGGGCCCAGCAGAGGATGAAGACCCCGCCTGCCTCACACACCCTAGAGGTGGGCGAGATGCTGCTCAGTCTGACAACAGAGCAGCGTTTAGATAAACGCAGCGTTTAGATAGCAGAACATTTGCGGCCAATTTGCTCTTGTATTAGTCATTAGTTCATCTGCGTAGGGACAGTAAATCCTGGACAGAGCAGCGTCCTCAGCGCAGGGTTACTTCATTCTCTGTTTCTGGATGAACCTTTAAGTCACATAGAACATGGATGTTTCTGAGAGCGTAGCTGATGATTAATTGTTTGAATTACTGAGGGAGGTTTTTCTCTTTTTAGTCCCAGAACATGGACAGAAGTTGGTTCATGTGTATACATTTGCAGTTGGGTCATTTCTGCAGTTTTCGCCGTGTTTTCGTGGCAGTATGTGAACACAGCACTGTCGTCCCAACCGGCTTTGATCCCAGAAACCTTTGAGTTTCTGTTTGAAATACCACTAAGTAGCAGCCGATACATCGCCAGCTACAGCTGGGAAAATTACAGTAACATGTAAAAGGCCAACATTTTGAATTTGATTCTGTGTCTGAAATACAAATTTGACTTTTATCTAAAAAGAAGAATTTGGACCACAGGGCATCAGTCCAGCTGTTTTTGTCTTTGGCCAAAATAAACTCTTCATTGATTTGACACAAGTAGGGCAAAATTAAGGCCTGTCACAGTAACAGGTTCTGTTAGACGATAAATCGTCCCAGAAGTTACTGCGATAATTTTGTTGTTTTGAGACCATTTTCCAAGTAATCTAATGGAAATGATGTAATAATGCAGGAACAAATGATTATTAATTTTAAATTCTAATGAACATTTAACATTAGAACTGGAAGACTTTTTAACTATCCAAAAATATATAAAACAACAGAAATAACAAATAAAATGAAATATGAAGTCTCTGTAATATTTTACACCATGTGAAATTAATCAATATAATGTTTTTTGCTTTCTAAAATGAATATATATTTTTAGAGAAGTGCTTTCTGGAGAGACACAATACTTAATTTTAACGCCCTTTACTGAAAGATATTTGACAAATTGGTTTTGATTAAAACTTAAATTAGAAACTTTAACACTTTTTGCTCCGCCTCCAAAAAAGAACCTGAAGCTAGCCAATCAGGGACAAGAGGTGGAGACCAGAAACCGTCAGCCAATGACATTTGCTCATCTGCTCTGATGTGCTGATGATTAAGAAAAAGTTAGCATTTTAATCATTTAGCTTCTCTACTGTGACTGTAACGAAACTTTTCTATATGACAGAGAGGAGAAGTGAATTATGCTGAAAAAGTGTTTAAAAAAGTTTCTGTCGACACTCTGGAGCTTTTTTCTCTCTGAGAGCTACCAGTCCTCCAGTCTGCCCGGGGTGAGTCACCAGAGTGAGACGTTTTTCTAATTGCCTTTAACTCGCGGTGCCGCTGTCTGTGAGGAAATAAAAATATTCAAGTGGCTCTCTTTAAGCAAACCAGGGTTGTGTGTGTGTGATGGATGTGCTTCCTCTCAGTAATATCACTTTGGTAATTTCAAAAGTTTATGAGCTGCCAAGCTGCATCACTGAGTAGATGGTTTATTTTATTATTATGTAATATTTTTTTGCCTTGTCAACCCCCAGGCCAACAGAAGTACCCCCGTCGTCCCCCAGGTCGCCTCCACGCTGAGGCAGAAGATGGCCTCCTTCCAGATCCTGATGGACGTGGCGGAGAGCGACGCCACAGGACGCATCTCCACCGGAGATTATCCGTCTGGTGAGGCGGCCCGCGTCACCGCAGGATTAGTAATTTTCGTTTCTCCGTGGAGATCCACGCCAGGAAGATTTCTTCTTTTTTTTTTTCTTTTCTCTGTCTAATGTCTGGAGACACAGTTCAAAAGCTCAGGATTAACACCCAGCACTGCATAAGCCTCACTCTGACATTTACAGTCAGGCGTTTCTGCTGAGCTCGGTCAAGCTTTGTAAATAGGCCACTTTATAAGTGAGACTTATCTGTCTTTCCTGTAATTGAGGGGTTTTAAAGTCGTTCTGATAAAACGATTTCGTTTTTGTTTCGATGGCGACGTCCCCCAGGTTCCTTTTCGTTTTCTGTGTTTATGTAATTTATTCCCTTTTTTAATATGTATTGTTTTGCTTATTTTCCAACTTGTCAGATGGGCTCAGCTGCAGCGAAGAGAAAGAGAACAACCCACCAGCTGCAGGCAGCAAACCCAGGCCGCCGGCCCCCCCGGACGGCTGCAGCCTGGAGATTAGAGAGGGGAACATCTCCGGCCATCACTCAAGTTTGAAGGAGCAGGAGGTATGCATTTTCTCACACACATACACACACGCATAACTACTGTTTGTTTACAAAAAAGCGACATCATTTTTAAATGAAAGCTATTGGTGACCAAAAAAAGAAGCTGATTGGTTGATTCTTTGCCAGAGGTATTGTTCAGTTATTAAATAGAAAAGCCTGATTTTACAAAAATAAAAAAAAACTCTTTAATCAAATTAGATCATACACAAGCAAATGTTAAAGTCAGTAAAGTTTTTGGGATATTTGAATTTTTTTTTTTTTTTTTTTTTTTTTTTTTTTGTGAGGGGAGGATTTGGATATATGTTTTTCTAATAACAGCCTGGAGTTTATACAGAAAGTTTTCTGGTGATTAACTTCTCCTCCATAAAGGAAGAAACTTTAGGAAAACAAAAATCCACTAGCACAGTTCAGTCATTTTCTAAAACAATATTTGTCTCAAAATATGACTTGATTGAAAAAGTAAATTGTTAATGCAATTTTCATCTAAAAGTCCCATTTACATTATTACTCCAAACTGTTAGAAGCGGAAAAAAAGGTTTACTTTAAAGGTCACTTTTTAAATAGGTCACATCTCCAATCTTCAACAGAATAAATTTACATTAATAGAAATTTTCTCTTTACTTTCTTGTATTAACTTGTAGTTTTAGACTTGTAAAATACATACAATATTTAATAAGCTATTTATGTCAACGCCATTTAGCCTAAATTGAACTTTTTCTAAAGTTTGTTGTTTTATCAAGTCCATTTGAACTTTTCCAAGCCAACACCACAGGAATTTCTGTTGTTTTGCGTTGCTGTTATGCAGTTAAGTCATTTTATCTAGCTTTTCAAAATGTTTTGTTCCCATTTTATTTATTGCAAGGTACTTTGAGACGATATCAACTACTGTCTGAAAGTACCAATAACAGATTGATTCATTAATAGTGTCCAGTCTGTTAGCAGATCCACCATGAAACATTTTGGATGACCAACAGCAATTCACAATAGATATTTCAACTTTCATTAACACATTTTATCACATCTATTTTTACCAACATAAATCTCTTTTAAAAAAAACATACTGCTGCTCACAATAACTGCATTCAGCTGTATTTTTCAATATATTTAGATTTAGTTTTGCTGTCATGTAGCTTTGGGTGATTGTAAACATCCATCGTGTAACTAATGATAAAAACTGCAATAATAGCCATTTCCACAGCATTTTGTTTTCTACCTTTGTGTTTATTCTTAGGATATCATACCTGTGTATGGATTCATTTTAGATTCGGTTTCTGTGTGAATTTCTCCTTTCACAGCTGCAGGTTAGTAAGTATAAGTGTAATTGTGTGACTGAAAGTTCTGTATTTCACTTAGCAGCATAAAACACATTAAATCCACTAATCCTATGGAAGAAAGCACAAACTGCCCTTTTTGTTTTTCGTGGTCATTAAGCAGAAACAATAACATCCACCTAGAACATTTACATCTTCATCTCCCAATAAGTAAACAGCAGTGTTTAGATGGCATTGCTGTCACGGTGAGAATCGACTGTTGTAGGTGAGGAAGCCTGACGGTAGCTACATGTTCATTCTTCTGCCTCGTTCCAGAGCTTTAAGTGTCTTATCTGCCTTGGCTCGTCAGTGCCACTCGACGGCAATTTCACCAACAGTCCTGCAAGCATTCCTTTATTTCTGCTCGGTTTAAAGCCGTTATTTGTGCTTTTACTTTCATCTGCTGTTGAAAATCAAGGGAGACGCCTGTTGCTGTTGTTTTTCTCTTCTTCAGTCTGGGATTATCGGTGTCTTTCATGCTCTGTTCTTTGTGTTATGTGCCAGTCACCCTTTGCGTAGCGTCATCTCCGAAATGGCATACAATTTTAGCGCGTAGACTCATTTTGCTCTGCACGGTGGCATGTGCATCAGGTTTAACCAAGCTGTAATAATTCATCCAAAGAGCTGAAAGGTAAATGTAAAAGGATAAGTATTTATAGGCCTGATCCCTCAGGGTTACTAAGCACACCTATGCATCAGCAAGGAGCAAAACACTTATTAAATTCTGATTTAGCTACAGCTACGCAGCAGGTGTGACTACAGAGACCTTTTCACCACTGCTCTACTTCAGAGCCTTCTTTAATAGAATAAGATCAAGTGATGCCTTTCTATGAAGCGCTCAGCTGTGAAGTCATACAGGGAGCCACAAAGAGTACTCCATATTTAGAAATATTGCCATGTCAGCTCTGTGACTCTAAGTGGTTTTCCCCTCTCTCATGCCTTCCTGTTCCTGCTTTAATCTGAGATGAAAAGGTCCAAGTGCTCTCATCGTTTCTATGGCCACTTTGCAGCTGTTCACTCAGTCCAGTCACTGAATTCTTCGTCTGCATTCGGGTTTCCAGACTGGATGTTGATCATATCATGGAGCTGTGATGACGGTGACAGTCAGGCTCACATTTCCAACTTGTACACAGAGTAACATTGTCTTCTAACTGTCCACCTTACGAACGAGTTTGAAGGTGAAACTCTGGTGATATGCTGATGAAAGTTTGGTGTTTATCTATCAGCTCATCAGGTTTGTCTGGATCTGTTCTGATTTTCATCAATCATTAGTTTCCACTGTAGTCTGAAGTCTTGAATGTTTGGTTTTGAGTTGCATCATCGTTGATGAAAGAGTTGATCTTAAGGGATTTCATTGGATTTATCATCTCTTAAAGCTTTTTTTCTTTCTTTCTGTCTTTCTTTTATTCTGATTTACTTTTGATTAAAAATGCGTTCATTCATATAGTGTGAAGACAAGAGAAAAAAAAAACGCCTCAGAGCATGTTAATTAAACCTGCTATTTTTCTTTCTCCTCTTTTGATTCTCTATTTTTTTTTCTTTTCCCTTCTTCCTTTGTTCCCTGAGCAACCAAAGTCTTGTACTAAGAAAAGAACCTAGAGGAAAATAAGTCACTCTATCCAACATAGCAAACCACAGAGGTCCTAAAGAATTAATGTAGTCAATAAATGGGTGCCATTTAAGAAAAATCGATTAAAATTGCAGTTTCGCATAAAAATAAATTTTCGCAATTTTAAGGAGCAACTCGACTTCCTTAAGGCGCAGAGATGGATGGTGGTTTATACGGTTTCATAGCAACAGAAGCAATACCAGGTGGGGAAAAGAGAGGCGCTGAGACGTTTGTCATTGAAAACATGAGCCTCCAAACAGAGCAATTACAGATGATCTGTGTTCTTAAAACTTTTGACAAAGTGAAAAGATAACAGATGAAAAATCCAATCCAAATGTTCAGAAATTGTTTTTAAGGTAGAACATGCGATTCAGAGAATCGCAGCTGTCTATGAAGCCACAAAGTATTTTTGATAAGTTTTGTTTTGAAAAGTGGCTCACTCATCAGACAGTCTAATTCCACAGCTCTTTTACCCAAGAAGGGAAAACAACAGAACAGAAATTAAATAAAAGTGTCTAATTTGAAAATTAGAGAAATAAATGGGAAGCGTTCCGATTAAAATCAGTAAGATAGAAATCGCCACACGAAAAAGAAAGGAGCCATAAGCTATCGCTGCATCTCTTATCTCAATTTTTGAGATCAAGATAAAATTTTCTTTTTTCAAAAATATCACTAGCTGTATTTCCATTCCAAACACATGCAAAACTTCAATAAGCTGCTATTGTAAAAACAACACAATTTTGCTGTGTTTCCAGGAAATAAGAATTAAATTAATTTTGTTCATGTGATGTTATTGAAAAAAAAAGTGGTGCCATCATCCTCCTACCACTTCCTGTTGTCGATTTTGTGGTTTCTGCCAGTAGTAGAATCCGATTGTTGATCACGACTTACAATGAGAAAAATGTTTCCATTGCAGTTTGTAACATACACAAACTTGAAAACTGCTAAACCTCATCCTAACACACAAACTTTATATTGAAAAACATTTAGTTTTTTTTATTTAGTTTTTTCTCCAAAATCTGTTTTCGTAATTTGAATTTGCGCTATTATATGGACAATGCAAACGCACGTACTGGTATTGCTGTACGGAAAATTTGGACTCCTGGTATATAAGCAAATGTTTATCTTATCCCAAAGAGTTTGGCAGGAAAACCGACGTTCCAAACGGGTCTGGAGTGGATGATTTGCAAAAGGGAAGGAATGATTAAAACGTGACTCCCTTTAGTGTCGCAGAGACACTATTTGCCAGCGGCCATATTTAAGAGAAGCACTTTTAAGAAATGAGTCTGCTGTGACAGATGCACGAACGCTTTTTGCATATAGGTTGTTGCTGCATCAGCCAAATTTTTCCGCTTACTTGGTGAGGAGCGACGCCTTCACTGCTCCATTGTCAGAGGAAACTCTTTACTGGCTGACAATTTACCTTTGGCAGCACCCTGAGAAGAAAACTACAAATATGTTGTATTTAATCCACTGCACCAAGCAAAGCTTGTATTTGCTCTGCAGTTTCCCCCACTCATCTTTCATTCATACGGTGGTGTGTCAGTGACTCAGCCAGCAGACAATGTAGCTATGAATCAGTTTGTAGCTTTGGATAGCTCACATTCTGACTGTCAAAAGGACACCTTTTTTATGAAAAAAACATTAAAATGCTTTCCAGTTTTGAATTGTAGAAAGACCTATCATCTCCTTTCCATTGGAAAGTGTTTAAAAAACTGATCTCACAGGAAAATACAAAGAGATGAGTGATAAAATTAGCATTTTTGAATAATAGTTTACAGACAGATTCTTTTTGTCACATTTAAATGTCTTAGAATATCATCAAATTGCTGTTATATCAAAACACAACCCGAGTAAATACAAAGCAAAGTTTGTCAACGAGTCAGCAAGGAAAAACTTCTGCTCAAACCAGCGTGGTACTGTGTCAAAAACCCACAGACCATCAACTTTTGGAATGTTTCTTTTTTTCTCACTTTTTTCACTATTTTATAATTATTACATTTAGCATAATTGTTGCCTCATACTTTTTTTTCTTGTCAGAAACTTGCTCATTTCGTGCTTGCTATTTTTCATCAGGATAAATTGGAACGCATGTATTATTGAACTGAAGTGATTTTTCTCGTTAAGTGCCTCCAGACGACATTCGTTGTGAACTGGCGCTGTAGAAATAAACCGAATCGAATTCACTTTTTTGCCCCTCATCTTGCCTCTGGCGTTCTGAGGCGTCCCCTGGTGGCCCTAAATAAAACCATTTTATCCTGGAGCAGACTCCCATTCAGCAGCAGCATGATGTCCTTTCAACTGCAGCCCAGATTCACTGAGTATCCCCGACTTTCCCTGCTAACAGGATGCTTCCTGTAAACACCAAAGCCCAGGCCCACCTCCCTCTGACGACCCCTCAGCCGTTTCAGACTCCCAGCCCCTCCACATCCCCTCTCTTCCCACTCTGCTGGAGATGAAGCTCCCAGGTAAACACACACACACTCACACACACACACACACACTGAGGGAAGCTGGCCTTTGATCTTGTTTTAGTCTAACCTTTGAGATTTAATGCTCAGTGCAGCTCTTTTTTTTTTCCACTCTAACCTTGTCTGCAGGGCTCCATTGTTATGTACCAAGCTGTAAAACCTTACTTGTTTGCACACAATTATGAGTAAATTATAGATTCAGCTGCACACAAGTGCTTATGCTGAAATAAAACTGGCAGTAATATTTGTAAATTTTGCTGCTTTTCTCCAGTAAACGCGGACGAGTCGCCTGCGGTGAAGAAGAAGAAGAAGCAGGTGCACTTCGGGGGTCCTTTATCTCCCGAGTTCTTCGATAAGAACTTGCCCCCCAGCACACCGTTAAAGAAGGGGGGCACCCCTGCACGGGCGGCCACCCCCGGCAGGGGCCTGCAGCCGCGCTCGGTGCTGAAGACGCCGCAGAGGAGCGACTCAGAAGACCAGCTGGAGCTTCTCAGCCTCGCTGCGTTCGGTGCTTCTCCCACGTTCTCAATGCCTCGCAAACACAGAGTGGCGCAGGAGAGAGAGGACGGCGAGGACGGACAGGTGTGGGTGGTGTTACACCTGTCTCTACGAGCAATAAATCAATTAATCTCACAATAAATTACAATCATTCATTTTCATTTGGACAACAGTCATTACAGAAATGCTCTGCTGCAATATCGTAGAAACGCAGGTGAACCTTTGACACATAGTACAACCCAAGGTTATTATAGTTAACTGAAACTAACAAAAACTGAAACTGAGAATGTATTTTTGGTAAGTGAAATAAATGACAACAGTAATCAATGTGGTAAAACTAACTAAAACATGCTGACATCATGGACACAACATCCTTTTTGTGGTTATGAGTCTATTGGCATTTCAAACTGATGTGCAGTTAATTTTCTTTCGCATTAGCAGTTATGAGGTTACGGCTGATTTTGGTAGTTTTGTTTTTTGACCTCAAAACAACGATATTAATGTTGATTGCAATAATTTCTGGGACAATTTATCGTCCAATAAAGCTTACCAAGATGGTGTTTGTTTGGTGCTATAATTATCAACACATTATCAACAAAATTCTTAAAATTGCTTAAAATTTATGAAGTTTGTTGTATTAAAGCTGAAGACAAATATCCACTTTTTTTCCCCCTCAGATTGTTTTCCCGTCCCTGGAGGAGATGGACTCGGCTGCGTCGAGTGAAGCAGGTTGAGCAGAACTCTTCTGGTGTTGATGTTCTTGTTTTCGTCCTGCTGTCTGTGACAACCATGTTTTTTTTTTCTTATCTTTGTATTTCTAGATTGTCCTTTTAATGCTCAGCTGTTAAATTTAAACATGGTTTTTCACGAGGAGTCGCTCTCTCAGCATCTGCGAGGTAAACCGCTTCTCGTGCTTTCCACATTTTCATCTCCGTAATTAAATCAAAGGAATGGGAGGATTTGACTCTCGTGTTTCAGTTGCTTCTCTTAAGTAGTGGCTGCCTGGAAACAAACAGATCATATGTTTTATTAGGTTATTATTCCAGTTTGAAGTGTGATGAGCAGACTTTTCCTTTTTCCCCTTTGACATGATTCTCTTTGCTACGTTACCTCAGAGCTCCTGCCTCCTCATCCAGAGCAATTTGATGCTTTTTAAGATTCAGCTTAAATTTGTTTGTCAGAATCGTCTTCAGGAGGCTTGCGTTCATTTATTTATGTATTTATTTTCAGCCCTGACAGAAGTTGATAAGCAAATAGTTGGTGGAATATTTTGATGTGTTCATATTTGAAACACAAAAGTATTTTCCATGCATGGTTGTTGTCCTGCTGCATCCTACGCCTGCTGTTCTTACTAGTCTCTACCATCTTTCCCACGTATTAAAGGTATTAGCAGTTACTGTGCAATATCTGGACACATTATCGTAACTGCCCATGAAATTAGAGTCATTATCAACCGTAGCTGAAGGCCAGTTGTTTAAAGCTTAAGTCAGCTGATTTGCTGCTGCTTCTTTTTTTCTCCCATTTGCCTCAGAATCCGACTCGGAACCGAACCGAACCTCTCAGACGGATCAGTCGACGGCCGAGGAGAAGCAACTTGACGGCGACGCTGAAAGTCCGACTCCGATCCCGTCCACCAACAGAAGAGTAAAGGTGTGACCCCATCCTGACTAAATGTCAAGATCAAGTATCTGTGATACTTGATCTTGACTTCACCCTGGCTGAAAGAGCAGCCAGGATGAAGTCATTGTGTTTATCTAATTGTTTGAACTGTAAATGTTTAATTCAGCTAGGGATATCAAAAAAGTCCTAATTTCATTCATAAGAAATTTCTTATGAAGCCGGCAGATTCCCTGATGCTGACATGTTCAGTGAAAACTAGAATAGAAAAGACATGTGCTTTCTTTGCTGTTCTTTCTGTGCAACAGCAGCAAAGTGACAGGCAACAACCAATAGACTCACACAAAGATAGAGTATAAAGAACAAAACTACTGCACAGTAATGGCAAAATTTCAAAATAAATACTGTCGTTATAAAGAAAAAAATGATGGCATCAGTCAGACACAAGAAGCTGCCAGTTTTCCCTCCATCATCCCCCATCAGGAATCTGCACCTGAGAAAATACTGGAGAAATCAGTTTCTATTCTAACACATGAAACTTTACTTGCATTTAATTTTTTTTATTTGAGCAAAGTTCATCCTCTTACAATAGATTTTTTTCTTTTGTGGCTTTTTCTAATACAAGGCAGCAAAGCTTTTAATTAGTCTGTAAACGTGTGAACTCGTCTCTCCACAGAACAAGGAGTCGCCTGAAAGCGAGCCTCCAGCGCGGCTCGGCAAGCAAAAGAGAAAGGTATGCTTCCACCGCTCAGTCTCTCCCTGATTCGTGCTTGTCGAACTCTTCAGTTGCCAAATAAGATCAACTTTTTAATAATTCAGGGGTCATTGCCCGCTCCCGTCTAATCTACTGCTTAATTCCTTCTGGATATGAACCTAATCACGCTCTAAAACTTCCACTCGGTGTGTGGAAGAGCGCGGCAGACACACAGTGCGTATGAAGTATCCTCAGGCCAACTGTCTGTTCCTCCAGCAGTCAGAGGACGGCGAACCCCTGAAGAGGTCGACGCGATCCGCTGCCAAGTCGGCCTGCAGGAAGATGAAGGTGGGTCTGCTTGCTACATTCCTCTTCTCTGAGGATTCTGCACACATAACCCCGGAGGCCAGACAGTGATGTGTGCGCGATCTCACTCCGACTTACTTCGCTCGAGTTTAGGAGAGAGATGTAGAGCTCCTAAATGTGTATCTATCTCTATATGGCCGAGCAAAAATGTCAAATTAAAACTATACTGGGGGCGCACAACATTTTTAGTATTTTTCCTTTTTATTATGGTACCGTCGCGAGGAATTGCGTTAATCATTGAGTTCAAAACAAAGGAGGGTCTTGCAGGTGTGGTAGATCTAAAAATGCAAACTACATCCTACCTTTTTCAGGTTTTTACATTTGTTTTTGCCCATATTAAAACATCTTTTAATATGTCACTAAAACTAGTCTCTACATGACAGTCAAACTTACTGAAGGTTGCTGTACCAAAAACACTGGTTAGTTATTATTATTAAATAACGCAGAAAAACTGTTGAAGAATAACTCAATCACTTGTATTCCTCCTTTTTCTCACTCCCCGTGTCCGCTACGCTACACGCAGGCCCGTTGCCATTGCAGCTGACAACAGCTCCACTGGTAAATGTTTTTTGTTTTATTGAACACCAAAAAAACATGCAGGCATTTCCCAAACAAGGAACAGAACCTTCAGTCTGTTACAGTATTACGTTTTCAGGCTTAATGTTTATTTTGCAGTTGTTAATAAATGATCGTCTGAACACAACTGTGGTTAAACACCTGAACGTTTATGTGGATAACCTTTTTTTTTTTACTTTGTTTTTTAACTAAACAGAAACACACCAAATTCTGCATCACATACATGTTAAGGTTGTCAAAGTCAAGCTAGCATAGCTACTACCCTCTTCCTCTCTATTGTTTTTTTTTGTGTTTTGTTTTTAATGAAGGTTTTCCTGACCTTGTTGTCTTGTTGTTGCAGCATTGATGAGTAGAAGCAAAGCATTGCATCCCTTTTTCTTTTATGTGTCCTCTGCACGTTTAAGATTTCTAGTCTTATGTTGACAACTTGACAGTAAAACCAACGGTGGTCATCGTCAACCAATAGTTTGTGTCCTCCTGCATGGTGGGATGTAGTGAGAGTGATGTCACAATGTCAGCTTACTTTAAGTTGTCAACTTAAAGTAAATCCTGTCAGTGCAGGAATCTGAACGTTTTGTTGGTTGAATACTTCAGCTAATCTTAAAGAACTTCCTGCTCTTTCTCCTATCCACTCAGTTTTCCAACTAGTTTGACAGTCTTCATAGTCAAACAAGTAAAGACAACATGACCCTTATAAAGTCAAAAATTGGACGCATGCAAGTTTTTTCTTTGCATAACACTCGTCACAGTATGCAAATGCTTGAGTTTCAGTTGGGTGTTTCTGAGGTTTGTAAAGTGCTTGAATGTAAAAAGTCCACTTTTTTTTTTTTGCAAGCCTAAATTCGGAAAGCGTTATAACAGCTGACACCATTTATTTTTACACACCTAAAAAAGACACTTTTTTTCCTCTCGCTGTCTGAAGTTAAATCCGATTAATGCCGACATTTTATGAGACGTAAAATTATGTTACATTTTACTTTACCTCCTCCCTGCTTTGGACCGTTGAATACTGTCATAATAGCATATAATAGGGAATTCAAACTATCTTTTTAAGTTCATTTGTATGGGTTTTTTTATCTCCAAAGTGTGATGAAGGAAAAGTTTGAAAACCGTTTGAATGTTACCGTTGAAACGGTCTACCGACCTTGCATTGACGAAAATAATCCAGTCCCAACCTGTCGATCCATGATCAACAGGTTTGTTTCTACTGGTTTTGAAATGACATGTAGTGTCAGGGCAGCTGTGGCTTTTATGTCAGGAATATGGTTGTGCATGTAATTAATCGTTTTGCGATGAGTTTTTTATTTCTAACCCAGAGTCTGACTGCATTTATAAAATATGCATCTAATCAACCATAAAACAGAACTTTAGGAAGAATATAAATTGCTACATTTAATTCTTCATGCCGCGATACAGAAGATAAAGTTAGATGTCCGTGGATTTTTCCAAGTTAAAGTTTTGGCCTAAGTTGCTTAAATGAATGGATAAAATTCAATGGAGTATCTGTTCATTCAGCTTATGCTGTTGGAAAAAGCTTCAAAAACTTAACTTAAAAATATATGTACAGAGTTGGATTCTAAAATCCATTGTCCTCCTAAAATTAGCAAAGTTATAAATAAGTTTGTTCTTGTTTAAATTGATTTTAATGATCTCTTTGGCTCTATTCCAAAGAGCCAAAGAGATCGTTAATTAGATCAATTAACGTTGATCTAATTAACGTTAGATCAATGTTAATTGATCTAATTAACACTATCTAATTAACATTAGTTAATTAGATCAATTAACTAACCTTGAATTGATCTAGCTCTTTGATGCATGAGTGAAACATTGTTGTATTGACAAATTACTAATTCTACAACAATTATTCACTACAGCTAAAGAACAAAGAAAAAACAAGATGCAGACACATTACATCTTGATTGACCCAGTTCTGAAGTACCTCAGATATTTATTATTTCTGGCTGAATGTGTCGAATTTTTTATTCTTTATTAACTTGCTCTAGTTTGTCAGGAGGTGGCAGTGTGCTGGAGTCCATTAAAGAGACTAATATGCAAGAACACCATCAACACCAACACATGACCAAGAAAACAGTTTGAAAAAAGAGATTAGATGTGTACATTTCACCACACGAGTCTATATCGACCAGACTACTGTTTTAACCTTTTGTTTTCTTCCTAACATTGTTGTACAGGTGGCCCAGTCAGCCGCCCGCCGCTGGAATAAGGATGTAGATTACTCTCTTTACGGTCCACGCGTGTACGCCTCCAAGAACCCCATCCTGAGTCCCATCATGGAGAGGTCGCCCTTCATCCAGCGGACTTCAGCCGGACAGCAGACCTTTGAGAGCCCCACAGGTATGTCCATCTTTAGATGCAGTCACTGATTGTGTTCGTGGATTTTTTTGTTCAGGAGAGTCCGAGAAAACTGTGTGGTTCTTTGCAGAAAAGGTAGAAGTGAAACAAAGTGCTGAGATTTTTTTTCTATTTTTCCCTCTTAACAGCCACACGTCAAGGATATGTCATCAACCTTCAAATGCCATATGTTACTCTCCATGGAGAGGATTGCACAGAGGGAAACTTTTCCATTAAATCCGTCAGCCTTCCTAGCTGTAGCCCAGGGAGGGACAACAGGCAGCCAAGGATTACAGCCAAGAGAGGACGGAAGAAGAGAAAGGTCAGTGTTGCTGACTGCGAGGCGCTTCGGGAGGAAATCACAGAGCAGCAATTAGAAGTTGACGTTTCAGAGGGAACTCTGCCGATGCTCACCAAGAGAGAGCAACGTGAAGCCGACCTAGAAGAGCCCTCTGCTGATATCCTCCACACAGACTCCAGCAAATCGGAATACGACCCAAGTACATTGACACCAACTTCCAGCTACGCTCCTTCAGGTGAAGACTCCGGCAAAACAGAACCAGCCAAAAAACAAGCTAAACGAGGCAGAAGGCGCCCCGCCCTGCTGGAACCACATCAGGCAGGGGAGCAGCAACCCGACTGCGAGGGGAATGGGAATCAGGAGGAGGAAGGGGGACCCAATGTGGACCTCGCCCCTTGGCAGGCTGATTTTAATTTTGAGGACGTGTTCAAACCTGTTGCCACCAGAGGGCAGCGCACGGTACGCCGCAGTCTGAGGAACCAGGCGAACTCCGAGCACGAAAGCACCGGACTCACCTGGGTGCCTCACACCTCCCCCGAGTCAATCAAAGAGACTCGCAGAAGGACCCGCAACAGACGGCTCAGCGAGGCGCTGCCTGTCCAGCCGGCTCTCCCAGAGGAGACGCAGGACCGGACTCCTCATCGAGCCAAATGACACCAGGGAAGTCATAATTTCTTCAACTCGGATCCGTTTATCTTGAATCGAGTCGATTTGTCTTAGGAGACTGATTGTTGCACATTACTTGGAAGAAAGCATCGACAGTTTTGTTCCCTATGAATTATTTGATCTGACTTCAGTTTCCCTCGAGTAACGAAGTCAGTCAATACACTAAGAGCCCAATGATCTCTGCTGACCGCCTCCTGATCAATATCACCCACTCAGCTGGTAATCACAGTGCGTCTTCAGCCCCCCTCTGTCCCACTCTGAAGTCACTGGATCAAGCATCTCCTAGTCAATACCGACTAGGTGGACAGATAAAGATGGCTTCATTGCTAATATGTGGGATCTGTGATTTTATTTCTTTTAAACTTTAAATTTTATTTCTTTTAAAGTGCTCAAATATGAAGCAGCTTTTTTTCAAATCATCTTCTGTCCTTGAAGTGTCCAAATGTAAAACAGTCCAGCTGCTTCTCTTTGCATATGTGTTCACATCCAGTTCCAGTAAAGCAGTTTTTCCTCTCACTTACAGCCTCAGACCTCTTCCTCTTTAGCCGGACAAACTGCTGCGTAAACGGCCGTTCAGATTTCCATTTCCAAACTGGTCGTGTATTGACCCATAACCTCGCCGACCGTCCGCCTGTTATAGATTCAAATCAGCTGCTCGCCGCTTTCCCGATCCATCTATCTGAGAAGAACAGAGGGAGCGGTAACAAATTGAGTTTCAAATTCAGTTCACATCGGGAAATTGGCTTCCCCCCATCCTCCCGAATGATGCATGACTGTAATCTATCCATCATTGGGTAATTGACTACCTCCCTTCACATCAAGTCACTCACTTGGCTGAAGGACGCTGGAGGTTTCTGGCTCTGCGGAGTAAATGTGTGTCTCTGTGTGTGCCAAGGCCCCGTCTGTCCCCCCACCGGAAGACGGATGGACACAATCATGAGCTGTAATGTATGGTATGTGGATGCAGTGTAGCAACACTGCCATCTTGTGGACATTTTGATGAGTTGCACCCCAACTTAAACTATCAAATGTGCACTAAATACGTCTCAGATGCTGAATTTATATTAAATTGATGCGGAATAACTTTTTCACTTGTAGTATATAAAAAGCTTTAACATTTGTTGACCTGGTGTTTGAATCTCTGTCTCTTTTTGTCTCTAGTGGCCTTTATTTTACAGTAATCCGACAGGAAAAGGGGAAAGACCTGCAGCAAAAGGAACCAACGACGGGAGGCGAACTTCACGGTCGATAGTCTCTGTAGTCCGGGTTGCCACACGACGCCCCGAGCTTTTCTAGTGTTTGAGTCCACAACCGAACTGCTGCACGTCTCATACAAGTGTGGGTGTGTGTGGAAGCAGGGTGAAGCCCCCTCTCCCTGGCAGACGGGCATAGTGAAGACGGCTTAACACCAGAACAATGGGGTCCTTTGACCAAAAACGACGCCCCCAAGACATGTGGCCTCCTGTCACCTTGGCAACCCCCCATGGGATGGAGAGTGGGGTGACAGCTGGAGGGGAGGACTCAAAAAAAAATGGAGTCTATTTCTTCCCACTGAATCTCTCCCACTCTGTTTTTTTCTCGACCTCCTCTCCCGGTCTTCCTGGACGCCTGGGCTCTCGTGAATGTGGGTTACATCTCACTTTACAACTTCATGGGATTGACCTTGAGGGGGTTTGACGGGAGGAGGGGGGCCTCACCAGCTAACTAGTTCGGGGAGAAATCGAAAAATAAAGGCCGACCATAAATCAGCTCTTTATAGGCTCAGGGATACGAGCAATTGACAAATTTGGGGCGGCCCCGCGCCGTTTTACACACTGTACGCTTGATTTTCCGCCTCATTTTGAGCACAAGTTACACGAGCCTCGTCATTTAGACACCCGTTTCAATTAGTTAATTAGTGACTGAATGGTCTTAAGTTGTCTGGCCTTTCTGAGCTCGTTGCGGTGAGCCTCTATTATCGATGCTGAGAGGGTATTTCTCTGAGCTCAACGCCACTCTCCTGTGGAGTGAAAGACGAGCGGGAGGAGGGCGCCGGAACAAAGGCGGCGCAACAACAAGAGACCCTCCAGCTCCACTCTTTGCTCCGCTGTCACAGCGCGTCTCTGTGCGCACAGCTGTGATTGGTTTAGACCGGCTCCGGACAGCTGCCGCTACCGCTGCAGCAAGGACATTTATCCCCAGGAACTGCAGCTTGTCCCGTTTTGTTAGTTGCTGTTGTCGTCGTTGCACTCAATCAGATATTCCCTTCAAGTCAACTTTGGTTGTCTTTTTTAAATAATCAAACTTTTCGAGAAGGCGCTCTCGCCGTCGGATGAGGCCAAATCTGAACTCATTATTCTCATTATGTTGCGTCTCAGGTGGTGTGAAGCCGCACACCACCTGAACACACCACCCACCTCTGAATTTCATTTAGGGGTAGCAGAGTTACGACTGTCCTATCCATGCCACACTTTTTAGAGTTTTGTGTGGGAGGGGAAAAATAAAAAGTAAAGAAATCACAAAAACCCACTGGTAATGTAATAGTGTGATCCCGTGTCAGATAATATCTCAATAAAACATTAAAGGTTTGCATTTAGAAAAGCTGAGGAACATTGATAAGTTCATAAGGCAGCTTCCCAAGTTGCCCGTTTCTTTTATTTAGAACCATACATCCTGTTCAACCTAAAGTATATCAAATTTTACTGCAAGGACAAGGTATTTGATCTTCATTCAAATAAACTTTTGAGTTTTTTATTTTTGTGCAAATTTTTACTCATTTTCACCACTTTGTGGACAACTAAGTGAGCAAATAGTCCCACGGTTTAGGAACGAAGCTCAAAATGCTAACTTCCCATTTGTCAATGAAAGCAGCATCAGTAGTATTAAAAGCAGAGCATATGTTGCACTATATTAACATATTTCTTGCTAAAAATGTGCTAGCTGATGATGATGCAGTTATAACAATATTTAACGTCAAGAATACTGTCTTTGCGCTCAAGTTGCGCTTTTATGCAGATGACTCTTTAATTCTCAGTAATTGTGTGATTTGTTTGAACCTTTCACGGAAGTCCAAAGCTACTGGAAACACGCTTCTGATATGAAAGGGTCTATGAAAAGGAAACAGAAAAAAGAAAGTATGAACTTCACTTCCTGTCTGGGTCTATTCATATTGTCCATTCATCGCTTGGAAATGAAATCTTTGGAAAAGTATGGACCTCCAAAAGCAATTTTAGCACATCAAACCTCCCGCAAAACTGACTATTGATGTTCCTCTGTATAGGAGAAACCCCAGAATACACAACTCAGCCTCATCACACTGCGTGGCGACGAATCAGCCGAGTTGTTCACTGAACTCTGTAAATAGAGGGTAAGCAGAGCAGATCAGAGAAGCATACCTGCACAATTCTCCACGAGGGTTTGGACATGTCTCAACGTCTGACTCCGGACGACCAAACCAGACGGAGCTGTTGGCTAAAGGAGGGGAAAAAAAGACACAACCCCCGAAACGTGCAATTTCTGAATGTAAAGTGCAGCGATGGGTGATGTACCCAAAATAATAAAGTCAAGTTAACATGTCCTCCAAAACGTCCATCATTTCATGCTTAAAAACATTATCAGACACACCAAAGTATAGCGAGGTGGAAATTTGGGTATTTTATTGAACTCAAATGAAAATAATTGTTTTTTTTCCCCCAAATCAATTTCTTTCAATATAACATATTTAACAAAAACGCGCAGGTTTCACCGCATATCTCCTCTCTTCTGTTTGTGACACACACACCTGGTTCTGTTTCCTTTCTGTCTGTTTCATACGTTAAAAAAAACACACACACACACCTCTGACCCCGCCTCCGCCCTGCAGGTAAACGGTAAAGAGAGCAAAGTGCAAAGTTCTAACCCAGCTGCAGGCCAACAGAACAGTTTCTTACTTGAAGACAGAAAGAGGTTGATAAAAGTGTGTTTCTACCCCCATTTTTAAAATATAACAAAAAGTTTGTTTTCCTAAACTGTTTATTCCTTTTACAGTAAAATGTTTTTTGGGGTTTTTTTAATGCCAAGGTTTTTACTGCTGGTTCCACGTCGCAAACTGAAATCTCTGCAAGACGAGCGCAATCATTTCCATATCAATCTAAATGACAGCAGCTCATAATAATTTAAAGTTTATTTAATAAACCAACACAGAATAGTGGATTATTGTGAAGTGGCTGAAAAGTGTGGCGTGTGCGTGTGAGGAGCCACAGCAACAAAAACATCTGGAACGTCCTCTCTGATCAATAGCTTCTACATCAGATGGCGCACAAGATCTTTGTGAATACCAATTTTCCAGTCATGACAGATTCTCGGCACCATCCAGGTCTGGACTTTGATTGGGCCGTTCAAACATGCTTTGACTAAACCATGGAGATCATTTTCCTGCTGGAAGGGGAGCATCCAGTATTTTGTAAATGAGGGCGAGTTTCCGCTGACCCACTGAGGAAAAGCATCACCACAGCACTATACCGTCATTGTCGTGTTTCACTGTGTTTCTTGGTCCTCGGGATGCTGTTGATCTCTAACCTTTTTTTTTTTTAATAAAAAATTTGGGCTCAGAGTTGGTCGGTATTGTCTAGCATTTTCACATTAGTAAACATGATTCTTAGAGTTCAAACTATTTTCCAAACCGAATCCTGGTTATAAAAATTTGACTGCGATACATTATAAAAATATGACAAGATTTGTAGAGCATAAATCATAATGGAACAAATTAGCATTAACATTTGCCATCAGCAGATTTTTTTTATTTTTTTTTTTTACCATATTGGTATTTGTCTGATGATAATAGAAGACATTTATTTTGCATCTTATTGCTGTTTGTGCGTGGTACAAGCCACAGTATCAATCAGTGATGGGCACAGGTGGACAGCAGGTGGTGCTAGAGAACCTGTGGACAAAAAAAAAAGTACCCTTCCAAAATGTTTTTTTTTTCTTTGTTTTTACCATGTAGTTTGTGGCCCGATGTAACATTTCTGTCTTTAAAAGTCTGCTCAACCAGACTCCCAGACGTTTGTAGTAAATCTCACCCTGCTAAGACAGCAGGGGTTCCAAACTCCTCCCCAGGTGAAAGGGGCCTTTCATCCTCTTCAGCACCTGCCCCCAAAAATATTTGTGCGCGCCACTGCTTGTGATGTCAAAAGTAAACGCCGCCGAAATTGGCTCATCAGAATACACAGGGAGTCGGTGACGAGACGCAGCGTCCAGCTTTGACTCGGCTCTGCCTGCAGAGAGCCCGTCCCCGGAGGTGACCCGATGGAGATCTGCGCCAGCCGACCGGCTCCTGTGTGAGAAATGAACCAGGCTGACGTGTGTCAGCCGTGATGAACGAGCAGGTGCTTGGGTCGGTGTTAAGTAAATGGAGTCGTTATTGATGACCTCCGAGCTCTCTGACTGCTGCCAGTATCAGTGATGACTTCCAGGCCCCCCACTCGCATTAAGAAAAAAAAGAGAGAGAGAGAGAGAAGGGTTTGTTGTTCTGGGATTCTTTGGGTCAGCGAAAGACTCACAGCCTCGGGGGAGAAGCGGTGCCGACCGCCAGAAGCGGGTTAAGTTGAGTTGTGCGGAGCGATGACCTCGGAGCCGCTGCCGATTCTCTGTTTCCAAAAGAGTGGAGGCGAAACGAGAGACGCTTGTTTATTATTTGCCGTGAAACACAGAGCTCATATTCCTTTAGATGTGATATTATATTAAACCGGGAGGATCTTCAGTCAGTTTTTAACACTGAAGGTCACAGAGAAACCAAACGAGTCGCAATCAGCTCAGCACATGTTTGGCATAACTCTGGCCTAATATGTATGTCACTGTTGGAGGCGGTTTTAATTTATTGGTTTCCTGGCAAAAACACGAATGACATCAGTGCCATAAATAGACCTGATATGTTTGATCACATCCTGTGCTTCTCCTGGGGGCCAAGCCTCCCCTGTCCTTAAAATATAGTGACACCCCTGGCAATGGTTACCATTCAGATAAAATCTGATTGGTATCCAGCTCTATCCATGCGTAAACGTGCTCTTGAATAAAAAGTCCTCATTGAAGAAAGTGAAGGTCGTCATCTTCCTTATTATGATAATGAAAGCAGGCCTCTTGCATGATGCTGCCACCACCGTGTGTCG